CCCACACACCCCCCACACCCACACACACCCCCCACGCCCACACACTCCCCCACGCCCACACACCTCCCCACACCCACACACCCCCCCCACGCCCACACTCCCCCCACGCCCACACACCTCCACGCCCACACACCTCCCCACACCCACACTCCCCCCACGCCCACACACTCCCCCACGCCCACACACTCCTCCACGCCCACACACTCCTCCACGCCCACACACACTGTACGCCCAGGTTATGGATGTTGCTTTAATTGCTAAATCAATAGTGATGGAAATTCCGGGTAGGGAAGGGGGCCGCTCTCTCCTCCCTCACAGATTTTTCCTTAATATTTTTTTTTTGTCTTTTACAATTCTCACCTGGATGGTTTAACGCCCCTTTCTTTTACCCCACCTTTCTCTTTTGTCTTACATTTTTCTCTCTCTCTCTCTCTCTCTCTACACTATACACTGTTAGGTTGGGTTAGGTTAGGTTGGGTTAGGTTAGGTGGGTGTTGAATACATTGTAGTGAGTCATCAAGAGCACTGATGACGTGTACACACCGACGCTATATGACACCTGACACCACCTGCCCACCTTATATGACACCTGACACCACCTGCCTACGTATATATAATCACCTCCCTGACACCACCTTCCCACCCTGTACACGAGACACCTGACACCCTCCTGCCCTCATATATCTTTCATCTGACACCACCTGTCCACCTCACACGACACCTGACACCACCTGGCCACCTGACGCGGCCCCTGATGCATGTTGGTGTCCCATAACTCAAAGGACCAAAGTCATTATCGTGAGGCTGACGGAGGAAAACAAACTGAAAGCAGGTGTAAATTTGCATATTGTCAGGTGGAAAAGGTGTGAAGAATGGTATACATGCATACACACACACACACACACACAAACACACACACACACACACACACACACACACACACACACACACACACACACACACACACACTTCCCCCCCACTTCATTTTTACGCTCTGGGATGAGACAGTGCCCTCTCTGGCGAATCAGACAGCGCCTGACGAACCATCACCATCAACATGACACTTAGCTTCTCAGAGACCAGGTATCAGCCTCCTAAGATCTCGTAAGACAAGTTCTGGATTCTTAAAAAATGATTCTCAAAGTGGATAGTTTCCTTCAACCATGATAGTTAATTTCTCGTGGCCAATGTTTCGATTCTTAAAACTATGTTACGTGATTTTTTTTGTCTATAAAGGGAACAAGATAATGGCATCAGGCACACTTGGAAAATATCTTATGTTGTTAATTTCACTCACACTACTAAGATACCGTAAGATAGGGTGAGAATAACAGCATAGTGTTTACGATAATTTTTGTTTTTTTTCTCTTTAGTGTAAATTAAACAAAAAGTTATCTATATAGGTAAGAGTCGAGTCTCAGTACAATATGGTCGCCATCTTGCCCGTCTGTCTTGTGTGTGTGTGTGTGTGTGTGTGTGTGTGTGTGTGTGTGTGTGTGTGAGGAACCAGTGTACCAAATAGACATCAGAGTCACACACAGGTAAGTCCACATTAGTGCCTCATTAACGGTCGTCTGGCCAGGTGATGCTCAGGTTGGCCTGCTTACCAACACCTACACCACTACCTACACCCCCCTTACACTTCTCCCCTGATACCTCCCTCTATTACCTCCTTATACAGCCTAAACCATCCCTTTACTTCCCTTACACCTTCCCCTTACATCCATTACACATTCCCCCGAAACCTTCCCCCCTGATACCTTCCCCTGAAACCCTCTTACAACTCCCCTGACACCTTCCCCTGACACCTCTACATCTCCCTTACACCTTCCCCTGACACCTTCCTGACACCTTCCCCTTACACCTTCCCCTTACACCTTCCCCACCTCCCTGACACCTTCCCCTGACACTACACAGATTATTCCGACCCATCACACTGACAGCTGTATCTGACGAGCGGATCTTCGCCTGGCGTTAAGGGCGAGAACAGACTTTACACCCTGGGACTGTCTGTGTAGCACTGTTTCCCCCAAGTCCCACGTCACTCCCCCTCCCCCCCCACCAAGACCAACGTAAGATTGTCTTCCCCCAACCGACTGTACAACCAAAGGGTGGGATTGTAGTCATGAGGGCTTGACCTTATTTACACACACACACACACACACACACACACACACACACACACACACACACACACACACCTAGACATACATAAATGCCTAGACACACAAGAGAGACAGACAGACAGACAGACAGACAGACAGACAGACAGACAGACATAGTTACAGCCACCCTTATATTAGTATATTTCTGCTGTGTTAGTTGATCACCTGTGTTAATATGTGTAATAAGAGATACATAAAATACTATATTACTTCATATATTAAGATAATTAAGGAACGCGGGAATGGAACAGCTTTTGTTATTTTCACAGTCGATTCTAATTTAACTTCAGCAGTCGTCCAGCGGCCCAACGATCACTCTGCTTCCTGTAAGTGTC